TGGCCTCAGAGTGGCTAATTATGAGCTTTGTGTCATTGTTTTTGTTTTGTTTTATTTAAAAAATATTTTTATTGATTTCAGAGAGGAAAGGTGAAGGAGCGAGAGATAGAAACATCAATGATGAGAGAGAGTCATGGACCAGCTGCCTCCTGCACGCCCCACGCTGGGGATCGAGCCCGCAACCCTGGCCTGTGCCCTGACCGGGAATCGAACCGTGACCTCCTCCTGGTTCAGAGGTCGACACTTAACCACTGAGCTACGCCGGCCGGGCAACTTTGTGTCATTGTTGGTAGCAGCGTTTCATGTCAAATCCGGAAGAAATGGGAACTGCTTTCTTTTTGTGATTCGCTCACCTTCCCTTCTGCCCGTTTCCCTGCCCTTTGAGAAGGAGCCCGCGTGCTCTTACATGATTTGTGTGCCAGGTAACCGCGGCCGGTGCTCTGTGGAGATTTAGTGACTTCCGAGGGTTCTGAAGATACCGATCTGAAAGTCTGTCTGGTGTAAGTGCTGTCTGTCTGGTTGAAAATCGAATACAAGCAGAACAATGCAAGCAGCCTTTACTCGTGGAATAGGTGAACAACATCACCGGGCAGGTTTCCTGGTAAAGGTAACGCTTTCCCAGTGTTTTGAGAATCATCTCTTTGGTCTGTTGTGTGTTTTAGTTGATTCTCTGTAACTGGGATCACAATGTTGAACTCATGAATTTTTCACTAGTGTTGGGGAGACAGGCATGATGAAACCTCCATGCTTCAAAGTCAGTGGAGTCTGGCCCCAGCGGTGCGTCCGTCCTGCGTTACCATCCTCTTCCTTCCGCTTTGCTTTTCCTTCTGCTTTCTTGCTTCCTGTTTAGGAGTGTCCTGGTTCTCACAATATCTTCCATCTCTGTGTTGTCATTTTCATTATTCATATTTTCTTTGCAATCATAATTCATTTCCCTCGTTATTTTGACCGTGGCTGGTTTTAGTTCCATTGTGATATACTTTTTATTTTATTTTAAAAAAATATTTTTTATTGATTACATAGAGGAAGGGAGAAGGAGAGAGAGATGGAAACATCAATGATGAGAGAGAATCATTGATCAGCTGCCTCCTGCTTGCCTCACAGTGGGGATTGAGCCTGCAACCCAGGCCTGTGCCCTGATAGGGGATCAAACCGTGACTTCCTGGTTCATAGGTTGACACTCAACCACTGAGCCACGCCGGCTGGGCAGGTTCATCTTTTTAAAAGTTGGGTCATGTTACTCCTAACTGGAGATGCCCACTTCACTTAACGCAGAATCCAGTGTATAGCAAGCCCTCGAAACACTCCCTGGGTAAATGCTCCCGTCCTCATTCGTGGGCTTCTCCTGCTGTGGACACGACAGGATGAGTATATTCCCACCTTAGGGCCACTGTCCTTGCTCTTTGCCCAGATGCCACTGTGGTCCCTGGCTCTGGCCCTTCAGGGCTCACGTCACATGCCTCCTCCGACCTTCCTGCCCATCTCTGGTTCCTCACCCCACTTCACAGCATGTGTTGTCTGTGTATTCTCACGTCCTCCAGCCAGATACGCACCCCGAGGCAGGCGCTCTCTTCCCGCACCTGAGTCTGCATGTGTCAGGTGCTCAGTACACGTCTCCTGGATAAAACCACATGCCCTGCCCGGCCAGCATGGCTCAGTGGCTGAGCATTGACCTATGAACCAGGAGGTCGCACGCAGTTCAGTTCCAGGCAGGGCACATGCCAGGGCTATGGGCTCGATTCCCAGTGGGGGGCGTGCAGGAGGCAGCTGGTCCATGATTCTCTCTCATCACTGATGTTTCTATCTCTCACTCCTTCTCCTTTCCTCTCTGAAATCAATAAAAATAAACAAATAACAAAAGAAACCACACGCTTTGTAAAACTGGGGTCTGGGGTCTCCACGTCTGCGTGCAGCTCCCACAGCGACAGCACCTACCTCCAGAGCATCTGCTGGTACTGCTTCTCCCCTCAGTCACCACGGCTCCACATGCTGGCTTCCTTTTGGTCCTCCTTCCCTCACACACTGCGACTCCACGCTGACAGGACATGGCTGCCTGGTTTGCTCACTGCCGTGTGTCCAGCCCTGGTCTGTGCTGGTGTACAATGGAAGCTCACTGAGCCCTGGGAATGGATGGGAGGCCCAGTGGGGGCCCAGCCTCTGCTCTGCAGCCTCTGCCTGTCCCAGCCCTTGGCAACTCTTCTCCCTCTGAGAATGGTGAGGTCCTCACCATTCCCACTTGCACAGGGCCTGGCATTGCCCATCTTTTTATCCAGGTGCCATGTGCCCACAGTAAGGATACACCTGAGATACATTAGTGCAAGGCTACACGCCCATTCCCTGCAGGTGGCAGACACTCCGTGGATGAAAACATGTCTAAAGTAGGTGAGCATTTCCAGTAGCCTCGTATTGTTTCTTAACAGCAGGTAACACATGCTCCAAACACCATCAATCAGTGTATCTCAGCGCAGCTCCCAAAAGCCAGGTGGAGCGGGGCATGTCCCGGGCTCTGCCCTCAGCACAAAGCAGGGCACAGAGCACCCGGGTGTGGGAGCTGGGACAACATACTTCCCAGTCGCTCTGTCAACGGCGACCTGGAGACATTGGTTATGCTTAATCGAATACTCTTTCCTTCAAAAATATATATTTATTTCAGAGAGGAAGGGAGAGGGACAGAGAGAGGAATATCAGTGATGAGCGAGAATTATGGGTCCGCTGCCTCCTGCACGCCCCACACGGGGGTGGAGCCTGCAACCTGGGCCTGTGCCCTTGACCAGGAATCGAACCCTGACCTGGCTCAGAGGGCAGCCAGCGCTCACCCACTGAGCCACGCCGGCCCAGTCGAATGCTCTTTCTTTTCCATCAGTTATGTATTGCTTTTATTTATTTTTATTTTTAAATTGTGTATTGTTTTTAAATCAGGGGTTTCTCTACACCACCTAAAACCTCTCCAATGTACACACGAGTATTTAATGAAACTGCTGTTTTTTTCTCCCCCTCTCTAGGACATTCTGCCATACTTTTGGTTCAAAGCAGTTTAAACGCTTAGGAATTTGTACTATAATTGCAAACACATTTATGGCAAATAATACACACAAGTGTTACATTCAGAGGGACGCGTTAATTTCCATTTATTTTAAATGTTTATTTTTTTAAATGTCCGTGTCTTTCAGAATGAGTTTACACACACACACACACACACACACACACACACACACACACACACACACACTGTGCGCGGTGCCCATCCCGGCTCCTGCCTTCAGAGCTCGCCCAGAAGGTCCATGTTCTCCTGCTCAGCACAAGCCCAGCTTCCCCTCCAACCGCCCCGCACACGAAGCTCCTTCCGAACTTAAACTGTGTCCTTTGGTCCTAATTGTTCTTCACGATGAACCGGCAGACCCTGCACCGCGAGGACCGCGGGCCCCGCCCTGCGATAGCGGCCGCCACGTTGGCCGAGTGACAGCTCCTCGCGCCGACCTCCGGGCCCACGTGCCCCCGCGGCGGAGGCTTAGACTCGGTGGAGGCACCTGGAGCCCGTGGTTCCTGGGACAGGCCGAGTGGCTTTCCTGACCCCTAACGAGAGGTGCGTCGTGCACGGGGGTCCCCGCTGTGCTCGGAGGGTCCCCGTTTTGCAGGGCAGCCCCCCCGCCCCCAGCTGCACGGAGGGCGCCCGCAGGACCGGCCGTGGGTGCTGCGCTCTGGTCCGCAGCGTGTCCGAGGCGCCCACGTGCACCTGCAGGGTTTCCGCTGACTTCGGAGCATCCAGACCACGACCTTGTGGATGTGGGGCGTCTGCCCGTCACTGTGACGCGTTGAAACCTGACGACGTGGAAGCCGTCGGTGTTGGATGGTCTCCGACGGTAACTGCTGGTTCACAGGAGGCCGGGCCCGCAGTTGGAGGCGCTGCGGACACAGCAGAGGCCACGGGCGCTGCAGCCCCTGGGCGTCCGCGGGCGCGTCCGACCCGACGGAGCCGCTGCCCCCGAGCAGGTGCCCCGGCCCCGCCGCCCGCACGACCTTGACCCGGCCCTCGCCCTCGCCCCCGCCCCGCCGGCCGCGCGCCGCGCCCCGCTCCCGGGCCACCCAGCTCCACCCCAGGTTTTCCTGGCCGCCCAGCCGCCTGCGTCGGGCGTCGCGGCGGGACGTGCAGCGCCGGGCGACGTGCCTCGCCATTGGCTGCCGCCGGTAGCCCCACTGCCGTGCGTCGCCTCCATAGGCGGGCGCGCCCGTCCGTCAGCGGCCCGGCGCCGCACGAGCGCGCCGCGCGTGTCCCGCCCCTCGCCGCCGCTCGTCGCTCGCCGGCCGGCGGCCTCGCTGGGCCTCAGCTCCGTGGCGGCGGCGGCGGAAGGCGCCGGCCCGCGCAGGCCCATGGCGGCGGCCGCGGCGCTCCCGGGCGCGGGCGGGCCTCCCGCGGGCGGCGGGGCCGGCGGCGCTGGCGGCGGGTCCCCGCCGGGCGGCTGGGCCGTGGCGCGCCTCGAGGGCCGCGAGTTTGAGTACCTGATGAAGAAGCGCTCGGTGACCATCGGCCGCAACTCGTCGCAGGGCTCGGTGGACGTGAGCATGGGCCACTCGAGCTTCATCTCCCGGCGCCACCTGGAGATCTTCACGCCCCCGGGCGGCGGCCATGGCGCGGCGGCCCCCGACCCCTCGACGCAGCCCGGGCCCGACGCCGGCGGCGACTTCTACCTGCGCTGCCTCGGCAAGAACGGCGTGTTCGTGGACGGCGTGTTCCAGAGGCGCGGGGCGCCGCCGCTGCAGCTGCCGCGCGTGTGAGTGGGGGCCGGGGCCGGGGCCGGGGGCGCACCCACCAGCAGGACCCCGACCCGCCCATCCTGCCCGCAGCCCCGGCCGCCCTCTGACCCGCGACCCGACCCCCACCCGTCCCCCCGGCCGGATCCCCACCAGGACTCGTGCACCCCACTCGCCAGGACGCAGACGGCAGCCGGCCCCCCCCCTCGGCCCCCCAAAGCTGCGGGCTTAGGCGCCTGTGCACGTGGGTCCAGGGGGGGCTTTGCTCCGCTGCGGGTGGGAGTTTGCGCGCATCCTTCGTAGCCGGCGCGCGGGCCAGACGGCAGCCTGGTGGCGGGGCGGCCGCGGCGGGAGGCCGCCGCCTCCTCTCGCTCTGCGGGTTTCCCTGGTGAGTGCCCGCGGGAGCCTGGTCTGTAAGCTGCGCCCCTTTCCTCCGGCCCGGCCTTGGGCGGCCCGAGGAGGATGCGTTCTTAAGGCGTTGCCAGAACCTGAAATGAAGTGTTGGGGAAAGTGGACACTTCACGTGACTTTTTAAAAGTCAGGTGTGTTGCGAGGCCGGAGCCGTGCATCCAGGGAGCTGCTGGGAGCGCCGGTCCGCCCGCCCGCCCGCGGGCCGGAAAGCCGGTCGCCCTCAGGTGTCCCGCTGCCCGCGGCGAGGGGCCTTGTCCGCAGGCCGGACTGTCGCTGCTTCCAGCTCCGCCCGCGGTCAGAGCGCCGCTCCTGGCTCGGTGGCCGGGCGGTGCGGTCGGTGGGCAGCCTGACGCCCGCGCCGCCCTGGCCCCAGCGCCGCCGGCCTCTGGGCTCCTCCCGGCGCCGGTGTGTTGTCTGCAGTGACTCCAGGTCACACCAGAGGATGCCGTCCTCACTCTGAGGAGGTGGAGATGATTTTACAGAAAACGCGCGTTTCCCCTCGGCCAGGACCTCGCCTTGCCGGCGGAACATGGACGCAGCTGGGCCCGTGGGTGAGGGAGCAGGACCCTCCCCTCCGAGCGGCAGAGAGAGGCGGGCGGGCCCCTCTGCCCACGGGGTGCCCCTTTTTCACGTGAAATAAGGGGGTGACTAGGACCTGGCAGCACCTCCCTTTTTGTGAGGCGTCATTTTTAAGGCTTCAGTGTAGGGTGGTCGCAGCGCAGGTTGATGGAATGAATCGTGTAAAGGCGACTGGCACTAGCTACATGTAGACAAGCTTTTAGGAATTCTTCTTGAAATTAAACGCCGTTTTATGTTACAAGTTCTTTGAAGTTAAAACATGGAATTGTTAAGTCTGAAAGCAGGTAACGTGGAGCCGTTCTGCAGAGGCTGGAATAGCCTGTTGTTTGAGAGGCGCCTGCGGACCTGACGGTCACTGGAGTGAAGAAGTAGGACGCCGTGGCTGGTCTGCTGCTTGAATGACAGGATGTTGTTCCAATCCCAGCATTCAGACGAATGTACATTTCTAGTTAGTATTAAACAGTCACATACAGAGTCGAGTGCACGAGTAGTTTAGGCTTAAGGTGCTTCATCATCTCATTAAAATACCAAATGTACTAATTTGGGGGGAATAGAGAAAGATGAGGATGTGATGAGTGTTCTTAAATGGTTTGAGTCAGATGTGAATGCAGCACCTTTTCCTGGTGGTTGGTGAGCCCCGTGCCCAGCAGGGACCAGCACGTGCGTGTGTGTGTGTGTGTGTGTGTGCGTGTGTGTGCGTGTGTGTGCACGAGAGCGGGCAGGATGGCAGCGATGAGTGTATGTGCAAGAATGTCAGGGCCTGTGGTTTTCCAGAAAACAAGTGATTTCCACAACGTATGCAGGGCTAGATAAAAAGCGTCTTTTTATTCCCAGGAGTGTCTGACTTGGCTGGAGGTGCAGGAGTTACTGGGAATCGGGGGTGGGGTGGGGGGGGGTCTATGCTGTGAGCTCAGTGGGGAGCCCTGGGTGACCCGGCAGGGCTTCTGGAAGTGGGCAGGTGGAGGTGGCCTGGTGGGCATGGCTGGGCGGGAGGCGGCTGGAGAAGGTGAAATTGAGGCTGGAAGAGCCCTTGGGGGGCGCGCTGTGGAGCTGAGGTTTGCGGGCTGGCGGGGGATCGTTTTTCACGGCGGCAGAGACAGAATGAAGACTGTCCTCTTTGAGGACAGGCTCCGCCTTTGTCTGCGGACCTGGTCTGGGGCCTGAGTGAGCAGGAAAGTGTTTCAGCGAGATTGGTTGGGCAGGAATGTCTGAGTGTGTTGTTACTCTTGTTGCCATGGTAGCAAACAAAGTATAATTTATAAATAAAAATAAGCAATTCTTTAACAATTGTTCATACTTGGAAATGTCAACTGAATTTGACATTTTTTGTCAATAAGATCCTACAGTATCTAATAGCCAAACATAAATAGAAGTTGGGTTTATTGTTGCTCCAAACTCTCTAACATGCAGAACTGCCACTGTTGATTTCGAAGGGTGGCCGTGTTCCTAGGCTAAACGAGCTGTCAGGGAGCCAGCAGCCTCGCCTTTCCCATGTGGCGGGTTTTAACCTGCAGATCACACGCAGTGATGTCACACGTGAAGGCTTTCTCACTAAGTAAGAGATGGCGTCCTCTGAGGTGGGACTGGAAAGAGGCCACGGACAGTGGCCCTTGGCGCTTTCCAGGGGAGCTCCAGGAGGAGAACTAGGAACTCACCGGCTGGGTCTTGCGCAGAAACAGGGATGGGGCAGAACTGAGGTTTCCAGGGAACAGCAGACCAGACCGAGGGCAGTGATGGGACGGGCGTGCGGAGAGGAGCTGACCCGGGAAAAGGACGTTAGGAGGAGGAAGGAGGCTGCCTGTGCGGTGGAGATGAGGAGGGAGTGGGGGTCAGGGTTTGGGGGGTGGGGTGGTATGGTAAGGAAAGCGGAGATGAGGTTAGGGTGGGAGGCGTGGAGACCCTGTGGATCACCAGCGTGCGGTGGGTGAGGGACCCACTGAGAGAGGAAGCAGAGGCCCAGGCGGCCCAGGGAGTGGACACGGACGAGGTGAGGAGGACAGTTCCCAGGAGAGGAAGGTAAAATGGGGTGTCTTGTTTGAAGACCCGACAGAGCCACTGGTGAGGCCTGGTGGCTTCCTTTCCTTTGTTCATTCACTTACTTTTTACGCGCCCACCACCCCCTATTGGCAGCCGGCAGCTTGTTCTCCGCGGGGATGGTGTGTTCTCTTGCCCCAGGGCTGTAGGGGAGGCCGAACCACCTTCACTTCATGATCTGAGACTCTGACTCGCTTGTCGGCAGAGCTGAGAGTGGGGTCCAGGAAGCAGACTCTGGACCCACGAGTGGGTGACGGGTCAGGGCAGATGCACAGCGGGCAGAGGGGCTTTGCGCTGTGAAAAGCCTCAGGGTACAAAGTAGCTGCTTATAGTGACCACTGTGATTTGTCTTTAAAAGCACAGCATGCGTTCATTTGGCAAATGGAGATGCATTTTTGTCACTGGTTTGTAGACATCGGGGGACACCATGCAGCTATTTTAGCATAATCGTTACTTGACTAAGTTAAAAAAACAACAACAACCGGCTCACTTCTTCACTGAGTGTCTAGTAGTTCTTCCAGGGGTAGGACTGTCATTTTAATGTTCACTTAATGAGTATTTTAAGACGGTTGAGGTTTTTAAATAATTTGAATTTCTAACACATTTTGAGGAACAAGCCTACATGGTGGGACTTGTGTGCCCACTCCCTGTATCCGGACGTGGTGAGGATGGCTCTGGAGCTGGGCTGCCTGTGGCTGCCTGCGTTCTAGTTCCCTCATGGGTGACATGGGGATCTTAACTGCCTGTCATCATGGGACACAATTAGCACTGTGCCTGTGTCCCTGCTGGACATGTGTTTGTCCATCACAAGTGTCCTGGTGTGGAGGGGCCGTGGGGATCCAGTGTGACAGACATGTGATGTGGTCAGCGTCAGCTGGTAGCTGGGCCTGGAGAGGTCCATGGGGGGGCCTCTCGAAGGCTCTGTTCCAACCTGTCATCCTCATCACAAATATTCCTGTTTCAGGGGAAGAGGAAAAGCGCTGCCTTGGGCTCCGTCAGGAAAGGGTCTGATCGGAAGGACAGTTGTGCATCGCAGCTGTCGGTCATAGAGCTTTGCCATTTACAATAGACTCTTTTTCTTTCTCAAACAGCTTTGTCGATGTGTGAGAACCACATACGCTTTTGAAACCTGGGCCAAGGTTTCTTTCTGGGGACAGTGAGGACTGGAAGCTGGGCTCCCCTGCAGGTCTCTAGGCGAGTGAGTTGCTGGGGGTGCCTTGGATGATGGGTCTGGGAGCCCCTTCCGTTGTGAGGCTGTAACTCATCTTTTCACTCAGCTCTCTCCCCTGCTGCTCCTCCAATGGGGGACTGGGTCCTAGAAGTGGCACAGGGACAAAACCTGTGCCCATTGAGTGCTGACTTAGGACACGACTGTTCTGTGAACATTCTCCTGCTTGTCACGTAGAGACGGGCTTCTAGTCGGACCTGGTGCCGGTTCTTGTTCCCTGCTGACCCGCAGGTGCAGAAGCTCAGCGGAGCCTCAGGTGTGGCTGGTGGGCACCTTCTGGAAGGTGAGGCTGAAAATGAAGAATAGTTCTGGCACTTCCGGTCCCAGTTTTTAATGAGGATTTTTAAATTTGCTAATGAACCTTCATACACCAGGGCATGTTTAAGGCACACATTGCCATTCCTGTGATTTGAAGCAGTGTGTTACTCTGTAGGAAACAGAAAACCCTATACAAGCAAATTGGAGGCTTACTTCCAATGTAGTTTTGGTCTTTTGTTTTGTTTGTTTGGTGTTTTCAGAATATAATAGCATTTGAGTGCAAAGGTGATGTTTTAAAAATGCTAGTTTTTCCATTTCTAAACAGATGTTAGGATTGTGCCCATCAGTTGTGCAGCTGTTGGAGTTACATGGAAGAAGCTGTAGCGTAAATATAAACTGCCCATTCCGGTTCCTCCTTGAGTCTTCTGTTCCCACTTTGCCTGGTCTCCTGGATGTAATTCTCGGTTGACAGGTTTTTTCTTTTCGTTCCTGATGAAGACTCCATCTGTTAACCTTATTGAGAGAGTCCTTATATATGACAAGTTACTTCTCTCTTGCAGTTTTCAAGGTTCTCTCTTTGTCTGTTGATGGTTTAATTATAATGTCTCAATATGAGTGCTCTGAGTTTATCCAGCTTGGGGTTTGTTGAGCTTCTTGGATTTGTAGGTTCGTGTCTTTCATTTGGGAAGTTTTCAACCATTGTTTTTTCAAATATTCTCTCTGCCCCTCTCTCTCTACACCTTGGGATTCTCTAATGTGTGTGTTGGCTGCCTGCTGATGCCCACGAGTCCTTTGGCTCTGTTCACTCTTCCTCATTCTTCTTTTCCCGCCTCAGACTCGATCATTTCAGGTTTGTGGCTTTATTTCTGCTTGCTCAAATATGCTGCTGGGTCCGTATGCGGAGTTTTTCATTTTAGTTACTGTACTTTCTGTTTCATTCCTTCATTTAATTTCTCTTTATATTCCTGTCTTGTTCATACATCATTTTCCTGTTTCCTTTAGTTCTTTGTGGTTTCCTTTGAGCTGTTTGAACATATTTAACACAGTTGTTCTAAAATCTTTGTCTAGCAAGTCCTGTGTCTCACCTTTTTCAGATTTCTGTTAAATTACTTTGTTCCTTTGACCGAGCCATACTTTCCTGCTTATGTTTTATGATTTCCTTGTTGTTGAAAACTGGACATTTGGCTTTTATAATGGAACTAGGGGCCCAGTGCACAAATTTTGTGCACTGGGGTGGGTGGGTGGGTGGGGTTGTCCCCTGAGCCTGACGTGCACCCTCTGTCACGTTCCGGGACCTCGGCTGCTCTGGGCCTAGGCACGGGCCTATAGGCCTGGTGTGGCCTGGCTCCCGAGGACGCCTGTCCCAGGGACACAGGCCTTTTGGCGCTGGCGCCCGCGCATGCACTCCAGTGGGGTGGGATCTTCCAGGCCCTGCCCCCGGCTTCCGTGTGCGCTGCCCCAACCCTGGCTCCCCAGCACCTGCGCACGCGCCAGCCAGGCAGGAGCTTCCCCGGCGTCCGTGCGCGTGTCCTGACCCTAGTTCCCCAACTCCCTGGTGCCCGCGCATGCCAGTGGCTGCGGGGTGGGAAGTACCTGCCCCGCCCCCGGCCGCCCGGTGCCTGTGTATGCAAATTAACCTGCCATCTTTGTCGGGATTATTTGCATATGCCTCAGTGGCTGGTGGGCGTTGTGGAGAGACGGTTAATTTGCATGTTTCTCTTTTATTAGCATAGATAGCTCAGGAAGTCAGATTCTCCTTCTCCCTAGGGTTTGCTGTTTGCTGTTGGTTGAAGGCCATCGGAGTCCTTTTTACCTGGTGACTTTCCCAGACTCACTGCAAAGACTGCCCTCCTCCACAGTGTGCTCCCTGACGTCCTGTCTCACAGCTGACGGTCAGCTGGGGTTTTGACAGGTTTCCCTGGACACCAGGAGCTCTCCCATCTCCGAAGCCTTGCAAATTGGGTCTGTGTCCGGGCTCCTCACTCTGGGTCAGGCTGGCACTGCCTAGGGGTCAGCCCAGGGTGTCTGGTGAGGTATCTCTTCAGGTCTTTTGCTCTTTTTTTTTCTTTTCTTTTTTAAAAAATATATTTTTATTGATTTTGGAGAGGGAGAGAGAAACATCAATGATGAGAAAGAATCACTAATCAGCTGCCTCCTGCACGCCCCACACTGGGGATTGAGCCCGCAACTTGGGCATGTTCCCTGACCAGCCATGACCTTCTGGTTGATCGGTTGTCACTCAACCACTGTCTTTTGCTTATTTTTAAATTGGATTGTTTTCTTCTTGACTTTTAAGAGTTCTTTTCATATTTTAGATAACAGACCTTTATCATGATGTCTTTTGCAAATATTTTCTCCTTGTCTTCTCACTCTCTTGATGAATGTCTTTAACAAAAAATAGAAACAATAGCTAAGACTTATGAGTGCTTACCTATGTTCCAGACACAATTGTAAGTGCTCTTTAAAAGTGTTGTTTTATTGTAGTATTTGCCATCTTGACCATCTCTAAGGTGCACAGCTCAGTGCTTGCAGCACCTCACTTTGCAGTGCAGCCATCCATCACCACCACCACCTCCAGAGCCCGTCTCGTAAACCTGAAGCTGTCCCCACGAAACCCTACTCCCCACCCCCACCTGCAGCCCCAGCCCCCACCACTGCTCCCGGCCCCCACAGGTCAGGCTACGCTAGGGACCGCACACGGGATCATGCAGTGTCTGCCCATAGGGTCTGGCTCACTGTCCTCAGCACGATGCCCTCCAGGTCCAGCCATTTGTTGCAGGAGTCAGGATTTCCTGTGAGATGTTATTTCAAACACAAGACACATTGCAGTTTGGTCATGTATGGAGTGGGATTAACCTTTTGAAGATCAGACATGACCGTGAGTGGGATTCTAGTTACCCAGAAGGCAGTAGGTGGAAAGCTTTTCTGTGCACTAGTATAGATGGGACATTTTTCCGTAGGAGGTTTTGTGAGGGCCTCCGTGAGGGTGCCAGTCGGGTGGGGGCGAGGAGCTGGGGAAGACGCCACTTGTCTGCTGGAGCCCGGGGCCTGCCTCTCAAGGCAGCTTCTCTTGCTGGTTTAGTTGTTTATGTGAATGGTTCTGGGTCCACTCTGAGAGCTGCCGCTAGAGCCTGGAGCCCTGGGAAGGCCCTGGGAAGGAGGGAGTCTTTGATGGCTTTCCATTTTTATGTGCATTTATTGCCTATTAATGACAACAACGAAAGTACAAATGGAGAGTCTCCTCCATTTGTGGCTTAATGGATTAATCATTTTTGAAGTAAGCCATCTGATTTCCTCTTGGACAAATCGGAATATTTCTGAGGAAATTCCTAGGGAAAGGCACCAGCAGGCAGGGCCTGGACAGGCCCCGTCTGAAGCCCGGGAGCCAGTGGTGTCTTGGGTTTTGGGAAAGTAGCACAGCGTGTGCTCCCAGCACCCTGTCAGCCAATGTCGCAAAACACACGCATATTCGAAGTGGGATAATTACAGGCTATAATTAGCTCCTGCTCCGTTCAGGTCAGAATGGGCTGCCAAGGAGTCCAGGTCAGGGTTTTTGGAGAATGTGAACACGGGACTGTGGGCCTGCTGAGGCATAGGGGCTCCCTGAAGGCAAGGCCTTGGGGTGGGGACTTGGAGGCGGTGCTGACAGGCGGCTGGCCCCACGGGCTTGAAGCCTCCTGTCCCACCCACGACTGCCGTCCTGTGTCTGTCTACCTCTGTGTTCCTCTCTGGGAGCTGCTACTGCTCCTCCAGGCCTCAGACTCGCCCTCTCCTCGTCCATCCTGTCCATCTTTGTCCACTCTGCTTCTCTGAATACAGTTACTGATCTGAATTGGTTCTGCTCTGTCCACTGAGGCTGTTGTGGAGGACTGACCCCTGAGAGAAGTCGGGGGCAAGGCCTGGTGGCAGGGAGGCCCCAACCCTGCTGAGAGCTGTCTCTGCCCCAACTAAGGAGTTGGGAGGTATTGCCTTAATGATGTCGCCTGGAGTGCGGGGACCACGTGCTGGACCCTTCCTTGGCGAGCACCCAAGTAGGACAGGGCGGTGGGCAGAGCCAGCTGAACACCATCACTGGTCGTTGGGTTGTTTAAAAATATAACCCGAATCAGGTGCTTGTAACTGGGTGTGAATGCAGACTTGGAGACCATGAGTCTGAGGAGCTATTTTTAACTTTTATTCTTTGAAGGCATTTGGCTTGCATTCCTTTTTATTTTTATTTTTTTAATATACTTGAGTCATGGCAAGGAAGCTATATTAAAGGTGAACCAGAGTGTTAAATTGTAAACCTTTCGCCCCAAAATTTAATATGTCTGACTTTTGTTTGCTTAGTGAAAACGCTGATAGTTTTTAAAGGAAACGGAATGATTTTTCTTAAATAAGAAACAGTCACAAAATTGTCTTCTTGTATGTTTATCTTGAAAGGAATAATGGATAGTAAGGGTACTAAAGTCTGCTTTAAATCTACTGACCTAAAATGTATTTGTTCATTCATTCGTTTATTTATTTGTTTGTTTTTAGATAATTTTTTTATTGGTTTCAGAGAGGAAGGATGAGAGTCATTGATTGGCTGCCTCTTACATGTCCCACACTGGGTATCAAGCCCGCAACCCAGGCATGTGCCCTGACTGGGAATCGAACTGTGACTTCCTGGTTCATAGGACGATGCTCAACAACTGAGCCACATCAGCTGGGCAGTTTTGTGCATTTATTTTAAAAGGAGTAATGCCTAGCCCTGGCTGGTTTGGCTTAGTGGATGGAGCGTTGGCCTGCGGACTGAAGGGTCCCGGGTTCAATTCTGGTCAAGGGCACCTGCCCCATTGTGGGCTTGATCCCCAGTAGGGGGTGTGCAGGAGGCAGCCAATCAGTGATTCTCTCTCACTGATGTTTCTACCTTTCTCCCTCTCCCTTCCTCTCTGAAATCAATATATATATATAAATAAATAAAAGGAGTAATGCCTAGGTTTTGGGTTTGATCCCAGGTCAGGGCACATACGGGAGGCAACTGATCAATGTTTCTCCCCCTTTCTCTCTAAAATCAATAAACATTTCTTCGGGTGAGGATTTTAAAAAAAGAAGTAATGCAGATTGAGTGGTATTTGAATCTTTTTTGAGTCTCCTTTTCTTTTTTTCCTGTTTGGCTGGTCTGAAGTTTTTGTTTACTGGTATTTTAAAGTCATAAATGCCTGGTTTGTGGTTTCGTTCATTAAGCTGCTCATAACGTGAGGCGAGTGCGAGGTGGGCTTCTTAGGGCCTCCTCCCCAGCAGACAAGGCTCCCGGGCATTTGGAGGGGGGGGCACTCCGTCCTCTAGTCCAGCCACAGGCACTGACGCTGGCTCTTTTTCAGGTGCACGTTCAGGTTCCCGAGCACAAACATCAAGATCACGTTCACTGCCCTGTCCAGCGAGAAGAGGGAGAAGCAGGAGGCACCCGAGTCTCCGGTGAAGCCCGTGCAGGCCCACATCTCGCCCCTGACCATCAACATTCCAGACACCATGGCCCACCTCATCAGCCCCCTGCCCTCCCCTACGGGAACCATCAGGTACACGGGCCTGCACAGGGATGGCCATGTACGGTCCGTGTCCACATCTCTGTCCTCTCCTCCTGCCTTGGTTGTTTCCAGCGCCATGGGGAGTCACAGTGGTGAGCAGGAGCACACAGGGACCCCGTGCCCTTCCCAGGGGCTGGCAGCCGTGGAAAGGAGATGCTGAGGACACTTATAATACCAGACACTATCTGCTCTCAGCTCCCGATATTATGAAACACGCTTCCCAGATGTTCCTAGTTTTTACTTACGGGTTCTTTTACTTGTCATGTTGGTCTAAAGTCTGAGATTTTCATTTTCATTTTGAGGTTTTTTGGTTTGCTACAATTTTATGTAAATTCTGATGACTTGTACTTCGGATTGATGAGTTGGATCCCAGTGAAGTGACCAACTTGTGTTCGTCATTATTTCCCAAGAGAGACTGGGGTCCTCAGGAAGCGGAGGACGGTGCCGTTGGGGTACACGGTCCCTGGTGGAACCTGAAGCCCAGTACACGGTGTTCAGGTTGTGCTTTGCTCACAGAGGACAGTAGCTGAACGCCAGGTCCAGAGCAGCCACGGGACCCTGCAGGCCGCTGCCCTCCCCCCCGACTCACCCTGACCATCTTGGGTGGCTGGAGGCATGTCCTTCCAGCCTGTTCTCAGCTCCCTGGTAGGGGGGCGCGAGCTTGTGCTGTGTCCCTCCCCCAGGCCGGAGCCCTGCAGCCATAACGTGTGGCTCTGTCTTTGGTCAGTTCTAGAACCGTCCTGAACTTCTCTTCCTCACTGGTGAAGCAGGGCCGCCTCCTCCTGTGAGGGTTTGTTTTATGTTCACGTGATACGACACGTGGAAGCAAGTCCCCACGTTTCTTGGGGCGATCGTCAGTTTCACAGAGAATGAACGAGTTTATTTTCCATGGGAAATGCTGATGTTCTCTTGCTTTCAGTTTGTTTTCCCTGAAATCAGAACAGCTATGGAAGCACGTGTGATGGTCACTCTGGTAGGCTGATGCGACGTCTTTCTCGTCCATAGTGCTGCCAACTCCTGCCCGTCCAGCCCCCGGGGAGCAGGGTCTTCAGGGTACAAAATGGGCCGTGTGATCGCATCTGACCTCAGTCTGATGGCTGACAACTCACAGCCAGAAAACGAAAAGGAAGCTTCGGGCGGAGACAGCCCCAAGGTAAATGCTTCATCGTCTTGAAATAGAACCGGGGCCATCGTGCGGCCAGCCCTCGCTGTGCGGCCTGCGTGTCTAGTAGCCTCCCCGCGTTGTCTGTCAGTGACGTGCACGTCGGGGTGGATGTGGGCTGGCTCTGGGCTCACTGGTCACTGCTTAGCCTGCTCTCGGTCGTGGGGTCTGCGGAGAGCTGAGCACACGGGGGTACAGGAGAACGCTCAGCCTGTGGGGTGACATCCATTGTGTCCCAATGCTGAAGGTGGCGTGTGTGCACATGTCTGAACACGTATGCACATGAACACAGACATACTAAAAACACCAAGAATCCTAAATTTTAGGACATTTAATAAAGGTCTTGATAACTTCAATACTGTGTTTTTTTCCCCACTTGAATACAGGATGACTCAAAGCCACCTTATTCCTATGCACAATTAATTGTACAAGCAATTACAATGGCTCCTGATAAACAGCTCACCCTCAATGGAATTTACACGCACATCACTAAAAACTACCCATACTACCGGACTGCGGACAAGGGCTGGCAGGTAAATCCATTCCAGTTTGTTGCGGAGCGTTTCCCCCAGTGCCGTGTCGTGCTGGTTGAGCTTCCCGCTCAGCTGTGGTGGTTTGACCCGGCCCCGGGGGAGAAGGTGCTGAGTGAGGGGTGACGTTCCCTTGGGGAGAGGCCCGCTGCTGCCACGCCTTTTCTGACCCTTGGTGCCCAGTGGAAGGAATAGTGGTTCCAGAAAACCGCTCAGCCTCCCCTTCGCACTGTCAGGACCCCCACGGGGCGGGGGCGGCGGGGGAGGCGGGCGCTGCGGGCGCTGCAGGTTCTCTTCGATCGGGCCGTCACATCACGTCTGAATGGGGGAGTTAGCCCAGCATTGTTCTGTCTCCCTTACACGTGCCGTCTGCTGAGGTGCCTCGCTTTTGGAAGTTTGTCTAGAGACAGTTTTCAAACTGTTTACTGAGGAACCTTCTTCAAAGCTATCTTCCTGGCTAGCCAGGACGTCAAACATGAGTGCCCCGCGGCCCACTAAAGTGAGGAGCCCACCTGCCTGTCTGCCTGCACTTCAACCCATTCCTGGGGTGTCTGGAACCAGGGCCTCCTCAGAGGACACTTTGAAATCAGTGCATAATATTTGCATGGTTTAGCTTTTTAATTTAGTTTCATTTTTAAATCTTTACATTGTGTAGGTTTTTTCTGTGGTCTGTTGTGTATTTACTGGGTATGTATATACAGTAGGATCTCTGTCATTCAGTGTGGGAAAGGGTAAGTTTGAAGTCTAGAATATTAAAGCATAAAGAGAGAGAGAAGAAATGCACATTTCTAACTTTTAAAATCATGAAGTAACCAGGAATGGCTAGAGTTCCTTTGAGGCTTAATGAGTAAATGATCTTGTGACAAATGTGTCTGTTGAACCATAACCAGATGATGTAAGTGAGGGCGGGGGGCCCTTTTCTGTTTAGTGGGAGGTAAGAACTGACTTCTTCCGCCTGCAGAGGTGCATGTGTGGGTCAAAGCAGGCTCCCAGCCCAGCCCCGAGTGCTTCCTATCTCAGGGTCCTAGTCAGGTAAGTCTGCAGTGGGACCCAGCCTCCCTCCTGGCCAGGGTGCTCCCAGCGGGCGGCCTTCCTGGTGGCAGTGAGAGGCTGGCAGGAGGCTCCCTGTCAGCGGCCTGGCAGGTCTCTTCCCAGTTGCCCGATGAACCCTTTCAGAACTTGCTGGACTTTATCTGGACAGCGAGGCTGGGCTTCGGAAGGAGCGGGGCGACAGAAGCAGGACGTCTGGCTGCCGTGGAGCTCAGCTCCCCGTGTGCGGGATTCTGACGCTGTGAAAAGCCAGTCAGCTGGGCTTGATGGAGTGAGAGTTTCCTCCCAGAATTAAGGACCCATTTCCCTTATGGTCGTATTTCCCTGTGTTTCCAAACATCATCCATTTGAGTGAGAGCTGCTTCTGAGCATCAAAAGGTTTTCTCGTTAAAGGGCGCTGAGGGACCAGGGCCATGGCCATGGCGAGGGGGCCTCCCCGTTGCCCGGTTGCTTCTGTCTCTGGGGAGTGACTTGTCAGACCCCGTCTCTGTTGAACTATGTCTTTAACGCTTGTTTTTATTGAAACGTCTTCTTTTCTGTCCAGATGAAGGTCGCAAGGGCGACTGTGCCTCTTGCTGTGTAAGGCTGCTCCGGGACAATTCACGCCTCCTGCCTCCAGCTGCTGTAGCGGGAAGGGGTTCCTGCTGCAGCCCTCCCTTTGCCTTAAGGACACACCCTCTCCAGCCCTCTTTCCACAGCGCCGTAGTCCTAGCTCTCGCCTGGGCCGCAGGTGCCCTTTCACTGTAGGAGTCTCTGAGCTGCTCTTCCCAGCGTCTGCCCGTGTGAGACTTCATCCCCATGTCGTCCCTCCTCCTCTCAACCAAAGTTCTTACCGTTCTGCAACCTGTTTTAGAAAAGAGCAGGATCCTTTTTCTTTATAAATGTGGATTTCCAGGTTGTGTCCTGGCCTGGGGCGGGTGTGGAGGTGGAGCTGTGGTGTGGGTTCCTGAGGTGTTGACACTGCCCACCACCCGTTTTGAGCACTTACTGGGAGTCAACAGCTGTCTTTCAGACTGACTTTTGATTTCTAGCGTTGTGCACCCATGGCAAGACTTCGTATTAATCCAGGGGAAATCCTAGGATAAACAGGATGATCTAGGAAACTGTCCGGAGAGATGGCATGCTGCTTCTCTTTGGTTGTATATATGTGCCAAAACGTTTTCTTAGGATTTATCATGACAACTTCCCAGCCCAAAGTGAAGGTGTTTGTTGTGACCGTGAGTCTGAGAATTCTGGGGCCCTCGGCTTCTGAAAGGACCAGAGCTGGTTCCCGTCGAGGCGTGCTCTGTGCTCGCGCCCGCCTGCACGTGGCCCTTCCTCTGGAAGATGCTGGGTGTGTCTCTTGTTCCCAAGTTTCTTTACAAGCACTTTCTGTGCAAAGCAAACACTTGAGTGCTCAGTGCTGAGTGTTGGTTACTAGACAGACAAACTGCCCTTAAGAAACGGAGTCTGCGTGGGAAGGACCTCCGGGAGGACCGTGCCGAGCGAGCCTGAGTGACCGTGTGCCTCTCCTTGGTCAGCGGAGGGCAGGAGGTGCCGGTTCCCGGTCTCGGCAGCAGCCACAGTTGGGGTTTGGGAGAGGGGTGCTCAGGGTTAGACCTTTTCCTCAGTTTAGTTTTAAAGAATAGTAGCTGCCTTTTCTGTGAGCACGGTATCAACTCCTGCACCACTGGAGTCCGAGCCAGTGTGGTTTCATGGAGCTGGGTTTGATCAAATTACAGAGGCTTTGCCCTGGCCGGGCAGCTCAGGTGGTGAGAGTATTGTCCCAGGCCTACGGGGCACATGCACGAGTCAACCAATGAATGCAGAAGTGGAACAACGAATCGATGTTTCTCTCTCTCCCTCCCTTCTTTCTCTTAAAAAAAATCACAGAGGCCTTATTAAATGAATGTAGAGACATAGTTGCTTCATCCTGTTGTGTCTGCATTAAGTGCCTCATGTTACTTCCTCACGCTTCCTGTCTTACTGGCTGGAAAGTCACAGGGGACCCTGGGGCTCTTTGCCCCTGAGGTGTCGTTAGGGTGGAGAGGGGGTGAGACCCCACTCTGGTGCGACGGGGCCTCTTACATCTCAGAACAGAAAGCAGCCGCTCCCTGGTCTGGGAACCTGCTTTGCAGGGGCTTCGCCCGGGGCGGGGAAGCAGCAGCCTGGCGACCCTGGTCTTGCCTTTTCTCTGTGGGGCCCCCCTGTGCTCATGTCCTTCGCCTCCCAGCAGCCGCACACTGGCCATGCAGTGACGGTCAGACATCATCCTGCACTGGGACTTGGCGGCCACTTCTGCAGTCCCACTCGGTGGCCAGGTTCCCAGAACAGCCGGAGGAACTCGGGGCCCAGGCGGCAGCTGCCGGGAGGCCTTGCTCACCGTGCTCTGCCGTGTGTCACCGCCTGGCTGTGCTTTCTCCACCGGCAGCCTTGGAGCATGTCTTCTCCCCCGAACTTTAAAAGGCCTGAGTACAGTTGGAGGACTGTCTTGTCTTTATGGGGGCAGATTTGGTTTTCTGCAGGAATTGATTGAAAGGTTTTGGTTGGTTATCAGCTAAAGCCTATGATAAAACAGTCTAGCAAGTACCTGTGGTTATTCAAGTATTACAAATCTCATATACACTTGTTTATAGAAATTTCATAACTCACACCACCCAGCTGGCTCCTTCACGTTGCCAGTGTAGTGCCTGTTGCGGTGTTCTTCAGTCTCCGCCACGCCCTGTGGCTGGTGCCCTTGAGCGGGCACTTGGATTGTGTGCAGAAGTATTTGCCCGTCCTGATTACTGAGCCTTCTCTGGCGATTCAGAAGCTGGGGCCATGGCTGCATTTCTAGCAGGAGGTTAGTTGGGGAATTTAGAGATGATGTTTGGAAACCCAGACTTCTACTTTTGTTACCAGTGAGGAACCGGGTAGTGTGTCCATTTAAATGTGAACATCGATGAACAGTGAACGCGTGAACGAGCTGAGTGTGGGGCTCTCGGCCAGCTCAGGGCCAGGCTTGCTGCAGCCGGTCCTCAGGGTGCAGTGAGGTTTGCCCAAAGGGAGCCAAGCTCCTTGATGCAAGGCTGGGCGGGAGCTGACGGCCGAGTTCCCTGCCTGCCTCACGGTGGTCGGTCACGGTGAGGCTCAGGTAGAAGCTGCTTCCGGAGACGGTGTCACTGACACTTCGCAGCTGTGGGCTCATTCTTCCCCTGTGCTGCTTGGCCCAGTACTTGGTACTGGAGGAACTCAGTGTAGATGGCTATGACAGCTTCTGAAAGCGAATTCTGTGCTGCAAAAAGGATCTTAAAGGATCGGCTTATCTGGGCTCAGTTGTCTATCAGGGCGAGGGTGGCAGGAAAGACAAGTGGCCATAGTGATAGCCTCGGTTTCCCTCCTGGAAAAAAGGTGGAAGCTGACATTTTCCCGTTGGATTTAGCGCTTTCCTTTCCTCGTGGAGTAGCTCCTGGCCCTCCTGCTGAGGCCCCCCAGCCTCCCCTGTCTGCTCACTCGGGAGGGACCGTGCCCCCAGCACATGCTGCTTTCAGACTTCCCTGCCCTCTGCAGGAGCCTGGTACCAAGGGTTCTGCTGTGCAGGGCACTGAAATGAAGCACATTTTTATTTCTCAGCAAAGAAATATATGAATTCTATGTATTTTTTTTATGTTTCATAGAATTCAATTCGCCACAATCTCTCTCTGAATCGTTATTTCATCAAAGTACCACGTTCCCAGGAAGAACCAGGCAAAGGCTCATTCTGGAGGATAGATCCTGCTTCTGAAAGCAAATTAATAGAGCAGGCTTTTAGGAAAAGACGGCCTAGGGGCGTGCCTTGCTTTAGAACCCCTCTGGGACCGCTCTCGTCTAGGTAAGGAAAAAAGACAAACAAAAAGACCTCACTTCATGGTCAGTAAATTTACCTTCGATGTATTGGTCAATTTTCCTTTGGAAAATGAAAGAAGTACCAAATGCATTATGATGAAATGTTGGGATGGGGATTTGGAAAGACAAAGTGTTGGATGCTCTGGGTTTGTTTCCAGTGTCGGAAACAATCCAGATTGTTTGTAAAGTTTTATTTAAATTTGTTTCCATGTAGCAGTTGCTGCTTCATTGAACTCATTGCGTATTGTAATATGATGAGTCACAATGTATCATTTCAGATTGATCAATACTGTGTTTTCCTTTCCCTTGGCCTGTGGAAGCTCTTTAAAGCTACCTTGTAGCTGCTTAAACTGGATCAAATTATACAGTGTTAATTGCCCGAGTTTAAAATGACACATTTTTAACTTCATTAATGGATACTGTTTTTAAACAAAAAAGAAATGACAATAACATAAGTCTGCAGCTCCCACCAGCTTGCACACTGCTTGCTGCCTGACCAATGGGCACTGCTTACACAGGGTGGCAGTCCACCTCCGTGGCTGTGCGGCCTGCGCTGGGCATGGGCAGCCACGCCCCAGTCCATGGTGACCCTGGCACAGACAAGCGAGTCTTCGCTGAGTATCCCTCTCAGTCACAAGTGTCCACAGAGAAAGGAAGATCATGGGCAGAAGACCAGTGACACCCCTTTTTGCAAAATACACTTGTTAAACAAGGCAGCCGGGCGTGCTTGACCTTTAAGAACCCCTGTCTTCTCTTTGGCTTCAGAAGTGCCCCCGCCTCTCCTAACCACGCCGGAGTGCTGTCTGCCCACTCCAGTGGTGCCCAGACCCCCGAGAGCCTGTCGAGGGAAGGTTCGCCGGCCCCCCTGGAGCCCGAGCCTGGCGCCTCACAGCCCAAGCTGGCTGTCATCCAGGAGGCACGGTTTGCCCAGAGTGCACCAGGTGAGGCGTGCAGAGGGCAGGCGGGGGGAGGGGTAGCAGCTCCTGGAGGAGAAATGGGAGAGGCTCGGTTCCTTGGTACCTGACACTGCACAGGCCTGAGCGTTGTCTTACGGGCTCTGAGCATTCCCGCAGGTGACACTGTGTAGGTGTCTGAAGTAATTTTGAATTAAGCTGTTTCTTAGTTAGTTGCTTCATCATTTAAAAATTTATGAAAAAGATACACCCCCAAAAAGAAAATAACAAATTAGACATTGATTGGTTAGCAGCAAAAAAACGTCCATTTGATGATTGGTGAGCATTTTGCAGTTTACTTATAAAGTCACAGTGCAGAATAAAAACGTGCCCTGGGGATTAAATAACAAACGGAAGTGTAGGAGTGTGTCCAAATTACTAATTTTCTGGTTCCTAGTTGGTTGGTGAGTGTGCGCTTTGCTGTATTGGAATTCCTGGCCCCTGACCAGCCTGTCCTGTCATCTTTGTCTCCTTGACTCAGAGGCTGGTGCAGGCTCATCGCGGCCTCGTGTCCCGACCTCTCGTTCCCTGGCTTGGGGGTGAGAGGAAGGCTGAGCCTGGGGAGCATGGCCCTCAGTCGGGCCTCCATGGGCAGCCTCCTCCCATTCCTGTGTCCAAATTGTTTTTGTGAGAAAAGAACTGTAGGAAGAGCTGTTATAAGAAATGTGAATAGAGAGGATGTTGTGTTGCTGGCACTTGGGTCTATGAAGGAAACGTCCCTGATAAACTGCTCGTCTCTCATCGTGAGTGACTTTACTGTTACAGGTGGACGGGGCCTGCCCTGTTCTGTCAGTCAGTCCGTGTGTCATCAGGTTTGGGGAAACGGATGGGAGGGACACGGGACACCAGCCTCACTCCTCTCCGTCATCCCCGCAGGCTCCCCGCTGTCCAGTCAGCCCGTGTTAATCGCTGTGCAGCGGCAGCTACCCCCGACCATCAAGCCCGTCACCTACACTGTCGCTGCCCCTGTGACCACCTCGACCTCCCAGCAGCCCGTCGTGCAGACAGTGCACGTTGTCCACCAGATCCCAGCAGTGTCCGTCACCAGCGTGGCCGGACTGGCCCCAGCGAACACGTACACTGTCGCCGGGCAGGCTGTGGTGGCACAGACGGCCGTGCTGGCCGCTCCGAAAGCGGAGCCGCAGGAGAACGGAGACCACCGAGAAGTGAAAGGTGAGCCTCTGTCCCAGCTCCAGAAGCCACAGCCCTTCTGGCCCCGCGTCCCCGTGTTCCTCACTGCGGGGGGAGAGCAGGCCTCTGGCCCCCGGGCTCTCCTGGAAGGGGGGAGGGTCTCAGCACCCGCAGTGCCGTCCGTGTCATGGCTGCTCTTTCCATTTCAGTGAAAGTGGAACCTGTCCCTGCGCTGAGCCAGGCCACCCTGGGCACTGCCAGTCGGGTCATCCAGGCGGCACAGACCCCCGTCCAGACGGTCACCATCGTGCCGCAGCCACCTCTAGGTCAGCACCAGCTTCCAATAAAAACTGTAACACAAAACGGGACTCACGTGGTGCCCATCCCCGCAGCCGTGCACGGCCAGGTGAACCACGGTAAGCAGCGGGCACCCTCCCCTCCTTTCGGAAGGGCAGGCTCCGCGTCCCGTCCGGACTGTTAGTCAGCATGACGGTTAGAGGGGCGCCCCCCCCCCCCCCCGTCCTCCCCGTCCCGCCTCCCCCCCCCCCCCCCCCCCCCGCAGGCTCCGGCCCGCTGGTGGGAGTGGCTCTCAGGATCCCCGTGGAGGGCTGAGCGGAGGAGCGTCTGGAAAAGCCTAGAGAAAAGCACTCCCCCTTGGTGTGCGGACTTGCCTGTGGCCTAGAAGCAGCCTGAGACTTGGGAGGTGTCCCTGGGGGGTCCTCGCTGACCTGCGCCGGGCAGTGTCCCCCAGGGGAGTGTCGGGCGTGGCCCCGAGGACGGCTCACTGAAGCCTGTGCGTGTCGCTGTCCACCGGGTCCTGATGGGATGTGTGGAGAAGACAGACAAATGGAGGGAGCTTGGCTCTGAGATACAGACAGGTGTCTTGGTTTTTTCGTCAATGGAATTGTTTTTTCATTTCCTTTTTAGATTGTTCATTGTAGAGAAATACAGTGGGTTTTTGTTTTGATCTTATCCCCTAAGCTGCTGCATTCGTTTTCTCGTGTGAATTTGTTGGATTTTCCATGTAAGACACGTCCTCTGCCAGTGGAGACAGCCTGGCTTCCTCTTCCTGTGTCCTGGCCGGGCCAGGACCTGCAGGGCAGGGAGCAGCGCAGAGGCGGGCCCTCCTCTCCCTCCTCCCAGGGGAGCATCAGCTTGCACCCCAAGGCTGATGCTGGCTGCAGGGCTGTCCTGTTGGGACTGGAGGATGCTGGGAAATTTCCCTTCTGCTGCTCCTTTGCCCGTAGTTTGTCGTGAAAGGTGCTGCATCCCATCCAGTGCTTTTCTGTGTGAAGAGGATCCGGGGGTTCTTCCCTTTGTTCCTTGTGTTCCTGGCATCAGCCCCACGTGGTCGTGGTGAGGAGCCTTTGACGGTGTGACCTGGGTTTGCTGAAGCTCGGTGGAGGGTGTTTGTATCCGTATTCGTCAGGGATGCTGGTTGGCTGTTTTCCCGCAGTGTTTCTGGCAGCTTTTGGGGCTGCTCTCCCTACTGGACGGGGTTCTGGGCTCTGTGGGGGCAGAGCTGTCACTTCTCCAGGCCCCCATGTGCTTGTCCTTCTCGGTGGGTGAGGCGCCGTCAGGTCCTCTGCTGCCGGGCCCCACGCCCTCGGGCAGGAAGATGGAAGGGCAGGACCCCCCAGAGGATGCTGCTGCCTGGGCCACGCGTGCCAGGTGTGCGCTGTCATCTCTGGCTCCCTCAGCCCAGTCCTCCTCTCCCTTAGAGGCAGTGGCGCTTTCTCAATGCAGAGCCACCCTCTGTTCACCGCCTGGAGCTTGCCTGGGGGCACAGAGCCTGGGGCAGGTGGAGACGCTTGTGCCCAGCAGGGACGCCCCATGTTGGCCTACGAGGAGGGAGGGCCCCGTGGTTGAGGTGGAAGCTGGGAGCCGGCGCCCCGTGCCTGCTCCCTCCTCCTGTGTGGAGAGATTGGCATCCGGCATGGAGCGGGGTCAGGGGCTCCTTGGCCACCACAGCAAAGCCATCTACTGTTGGGCCCACCTTTGCCTCACCCTGAGCCTCAGTCTCCCCCAGGTTCTGTCAAGATGACGCACTCTCCGAGTGATAGAAACGAAGTCAGCTGTTAATCAGAACACCCACAATCAGCCCTGGCCAGAGGGCTGAAAGGTTACCTGCTCAGTTCCCCAACAGGGCACATACCCAGGTTGTGGGTTTGATCCCTGTCTGGGGTGTGTAAACATGGATCAGGGCAACAGATCCATGTTTCTCTCCCTCTCCCTTCCTCTCTCACTAAAAAATCAATTAAAAAATATATTTTTTAAGTATCTTAAGAGCCTGGCCGGCACTGCTCAGTGGTTGAGCATCGACCCAGGAGCCAGGACGTCACTGTTCAATTCCTGGTCAGGGCACATGCCTGGGTTGTGGGATCCCCAGTGTGGGGTGTACAGGAGGCAGCCGATCCATGATTCTCTCTCATCGATGTTTCTCTCTCTCAAATCAATAAAAAATAGACTTTAAAAAATGTATCTCAAGAAAAATAACCCACAATCATGCAGTTTATTTGCCCAGGCTCCTGTCCCCTTGGCCATCCAGGGTTGTGCAGGTCACAGGGAGAAGCTGACATAGGCAGAGCCTGGGTCTGACTCACTGTCTCTCTGCAGCAGCGGCGAGTCCTCTGCACATGCTGGCGACACACGCCTCAGCATCGGCCTCCCTGCCCACCAAGCGCCAGAATGGAGACCAATCAGAGCAGCCGGAGCTGAAGCGGGTCAAGACTGAAGAAGGCGATAGCATCGTCATTGCCCTGAGTGTGGACACGCCTCCAGCGGCCACGAGGGAGAAGGGCGTCCAGAACTAGTGGCCGAGAGCTTTCTAACTTTCCTGTCAACTCTGGTGCCAAAAGGAGACACTGCCCATCCCGACGCTGGAGCGCCTGCTCTCGGGGGCAGAGGCCTGCGGGTGGACTTCATGTCAGCACTGAAACACAGACCCAGGTGGCCTTACAACTCTCCTTTCAGACAAAACTCACACCTGAACTTGGAAACCACACACGGCAGCCTGGTGCCGGCAGTGTCTCCGCCCAGCGCTCATCTTTTAACCCCAAGCAGACACTTGGTCCTTCCGAGTGAGGATGAGGATGAGGCCCGGTGCCAGTGCATCGTCCGGACAGGCCCGCCTCAGGGGGCCAGCACAGGAGCCCCCACCCCCTCCAAGGACCCCCGGGGCTGGCAGGGGAGACAGTATTTTGTTGTTCACACTTGGAACTAGACTATTTGGGGTGTACTTTCTTTCTTTACAAAAGAATGGGTCTTTGGCATTTCAGATCACTCCATTCTACTTGGAAACTTTGGAATCACAGGACCTTTGTGTGGGTTTCATTTGGAGAAAAGAAACAACGTGGTTCTGTTTGTTTCGTTGTTTGCTGTCCGCCTATGGGAGGACTGACTGTCCGTGGGCGATCAGGAGGAGCTACGAGATGACAACTGCCCGTTTCCTCAGAGCAGCTGCTGATGAGTGTGCTCCTCCATGTCAGGGTGTGGGACGGACAGGACGCGGCCGGCTGCATGGATGAACTGCTGGACTGCGGGCTGCACTTAACTGTTTCTCTTTCTTGCTACTTTTTGTTGTTTCTTTGTGTTGACTTGGTCCCTGGCATAATTTTCCACTCTAAGTAAAACAAGTCTCCTAAGTATTGTGTGTTTAAAATAACAGAACTATTCCTACTTTATTGGGGGAGGGGGGGTAATTCAGTCTTTTGTCTCAAGCCCTCTCACCTGTCACCGCTCTCTTGGTGGCATGTCCGCTCTTTTAGGTGCTGTCACCGGGTCAGCACCGTCTGACCAGCTGTCTCCCCGGCTCTGCCCCACGCACCCAGAGCAGCTGCTGGGCTGAGCAGAAACTCCGTGTTAATACAAGAGCCTGAGAAGCAAGCGCCCTGCGGTTAAGCATGGGAAACATCTAGGTCGTTTTCTGATTTGTGATAGGAAATTCCATCACCCTTCGAAACTGAATCCGCTGAGGCTGACTTCTCTCCTACAGAAAACAGGAGCAGGAAGACAGGAGACACAGGTGAGAGAATGGAAGGAAGGAGGCACCTCCCAGCCTTGGCTCAGCTCCTCCGGAAGGAAACCACTCGCCTTTCCAGAGTGTTCTGGGGGGTCAGGGCTGAGCAGCCGGGCAACTAGGAGGGCTCTGGCCTTATTGTGAATTTTTAAATGTCATCATCATAACGTTATTTATTTAAATGTAGTTATTTTGGTATTTAATTTTTTTTTAAGAGAGGAAAAAAACCCTGTATTTTCCTGATGGAATGAAATGGCTCAGAATGGTATATTTAGGCAATTTTAAAACATTTATTATTTACCTAAAGACCAAATATGATAAATCTGTTCTAAGTATTGTGTGTCAATCCAAAGTATGGAGCTGTCACAATGTTACTGCAGATCATGCATATTAAAAATTATGAAATTACTGCAAATAGCTTGATTTATAACTCAGCCATTTAACAAATAAAACGGAACCATCGGTGAATGAGAGACCACGTGTGTGACAGTGGCAGAATCTCACTTGCAGATCCGAGCACAGGCGGGCACCTCAGGGCGCAGCCTGCATCTCCAGGCACGTTACCAACACCCGAGTGTGTGTGTTGACCTGCCTCGTTATTCAGGAGGTTTGCAGTTTGCAAAATATTTCAGGCTGTGCTGTGTCCTGTGTGGGGTCAGGTGCTCCTCTGAAGGGCCCAGACCCGCTTGTCATGCTGGTGCCTGACTGTGAACTCCCGGCAGGTGAATGCACAAGACCACCCGTGGGGAACTTGGCTTGGGCGGCAGTGACCGGACACACCGTGTCCTCCTGGAGGCGTGTCCACGCAGAAACCGACCTGTCACCACCACGGAAGACCTGGGTAGATCCTTCCTACTCAGCCCAGTCCATCCGTTGGTTATTTCTGAGCCCAAAACATAGATCTTATGGGTCCGGAGGAATTTCTGCTGGGATGATAACCTAGTTCTCAGAGTTTAGAGAGGGGATAGTTTTCCACTCTAAGGCAGCTAGAGGGCCTTTTCAGGTGAGGGTAGTCTCTCCTTTTCCCTTTTTACTACCTCACCTAGTTGGCTCATAGAAATTTAAAAATATTAAGAAGAAGCCCAGAGAAAACATGGATTAGAAAACTACCACATTCCAAGTAAGTGTTTTTCAATTTACCTCTGAATTCTCAAGAGCCCTCACCATACAAGGGCCACTGAGCTGTGTCGCTGCTGGAGGCCTGGTGTCAAACAGTGCATGTGTGACACAGACCCCCCCCCAGCTGTCCACTGGTAGTGCCTAAAGTCTGATTTCAAGAAACTTCTACTTAGACTTTTGCCAAACATCTGAGCTCCCTGAGGGATTAGAAACGTCATTTCTGCAGCTTTGCCCCGAACCACACAAAAGTACAAAAGGGAAACTCACACGTGGCCCACAAGGCGTGGTGCATGCCGGGTGTCTGCGTGCTGGTGCTGATCTGGTGGCTGCGCTCCCTAAATACACTGCCCCTCATCCTCCACTGGAACCAGTGTAGCCGGGAGCCGTGGTCAGAGGAGTGGGGCGGTGCCAGGACTTGGAAGTCCGTGCTCTGTGACACGGGAGATAAGTGAATCTTCAATCCCAACCGCCACTATCCAGAGGCATAGTGGTGGTTTGTGTGCAAAGATTTGAAATCTTAGAGTACTGAGTACCTGAAATCCAATAAAATATTTTTACTAATTTTGATTGAATAGAGTATCATTGTCATTTAATAAACTTAAACAGGCATTTCTTTGTTGGTTTTTTACTTATGTTCTTTCCGAAGGCCTAGCGCTCTGAGCGAGAGGGAAGGAGTCCTGAACAGAGTGGCATGGAGGCCCCCGGGGAGCGAAATGAAGCTAAAAGTGAGCGTTCCAGGACAGAGTTCATATGGAATGTTTCATTCCCTACACTGATGCCCTAATTTAATTTAAAACAAGTCATATTAGCAGAGAAAACTGCTCATGATATACTCCGACTGTGTATCCTAACAATCGGAAGCATTCAGATGGTTTTCCCCAGATGTTACGCTGGTTGTAGTAGATGCTTTAAAAAGCATTACGATCTGATCGTCCCCTTCTCCCAGGAAAAGCTCCTCTGGGGACTCCTTAGGTTCACTCTGTGGACGGTAAACATCCTTTACTCACAGAAAGAGGTTGAGTGGAGGAGCCTGCACTTCAGCTGCAGGAAACCGTCCAGCAGGAGCCTGTGAGTCCTGCAGGGGCTGCCGCTCATGCTCGTCTGCAACAGAAGATGCTGGCCCAGGACAAGCCTCTGTGCAACCGGCCCACACACAGCGAGTTCCGGGCTGGACCGGAAGTGGGAGACCCTCCAGGGCAGCAACTGAGACTGCAGCGCTGGCGCGGGGTTCGCAATTCCACGCTAGATTGGCACACCTCACCCCTTGCTGCTTCCCCCTGTGCTTACATCACAGCCACACACAAGAGACCAACCTGAGGGTGCAGGTGTCCTGACCTAGAAATGTCTGTCAGAGGCCCCCGAGGGGTAAGCACACTGCCCATGTCCCAGGGGCCACAACAACCAGCCCTGACAATGGGACACCCTCTCCCCCACGCTGGCCAGTGTCCTGGGAAGGGCCCGACAGACCATGGGGTCACGCAGCTGCGTCCTGTGAGCCGAGGCCCCGAGGCCTGTCACGCTTCTCTCACCATTTTGGCCTCACAGTGGACCCAGTCACAGGGAATATGCAAAACCAAAGGGAGGCAAAAACCTGAGCATTTTAGCCAAAGGACCAGGAGAAGGGGTGCCTGGGAGTCGGCAAATGTGGGGGACAGCATGGCAAATATGAAGTTAGAGAAGGATCCCCTAGAGCCGCACAGGACATGCTGGGTTCAGCTGAGCTGCACAAGCCTGGCACTGACCTGGGGAAGCAGAGACATGGTGACCTGGCCTACCTCACGGACCGTGCACAGCTGTGGGCCCGAAGAGCAGCACAGGCTTGGAAAACACACTAGAACCACAGCCCGTGCCGTTTGCACCTAACAAAAAAGAATCAACATTCTCTAGAAGATTTTAATAGGACTCAGTCTCGTAATATACAAAATGTCTATAAAATAATCCAAAGATCCAGGAAAATCTCTAAAGCAGCAGTCGCCAACCGGTGGTCCATGAGGTCCAAAAGGCTGGCAACCGCTGCTCTAAAGGACCATGAAAATTAATAGATGTCAACCTCAGTGTGCTGAAATAACTAGAAATGCGTTAGCACTTTCTATAGCTCTATTATAACATATTCCACGAAGGGCAAATGCTCTTCAAATGAACCAAAAGTTACCCCAAATAGGATTAACTCAACAACAATGTCAAGACATCCTTGACCACAAGTGGACTTTCTCCCTTGAAGGCAGACAGGAACAGTGTTGCCACACACAGAGCAACAACACGGAGTAACTGCAGATTTCTCCACGTAACTGGGAAACTTTAAAGGCTGACATAATGATCACCCAGAATACTATACCCACAGAAAATATCAGGAATAAAGATGAAATACAGAGATTCTTAGATGAAGGAAAACTAAGAGAATTCTTAGTAGAACTGCTCCAAAAGAAATGCTAAAGGAAGTTCTTCAGGCAAAAAGTAAACAATAAACTGGGAGCTTCAGGAAGAAAGATCCACAGAAATGGTAAATATTTTGTGCAAATATTAGAAATGAATTTTTCCTCTTCAGTTCTTTCTGTCTGACTTTGTAAGGTCTCTGCATTGCACTGGAAGTGATAAAACATTAATTCTGAAGGAGACTGAAAAGGTACCTTTACTAATAATTCTTAGTGAAGATAAAGTGAAAAGCCAACAGGTAAGGTGAAACGGAATGCTGGAAACTTTTCAAGTCAAGGCCGACCTTAGCGACATGGTGGGTTCAGTCCCAGACCCTGCAGTAAAGCAAGTATTGCACTACCTTGAGCCCCACAGTTTTCTGATTTCCTAGTGCAGTTAATAGTTTACACTGCAGCCCACTGAGTGTGCAGCTCGGTGGTTCCCTGGAGATGGAGGCAATGGCAGGGATTTCTTCATAGGTACGAGGTGCTGGGGGGTGTGAGTGTGACTGCCCAACACTGAACACACCACCTGCCCTGGCCTACACACCTTATCATGGCTGTGCAGTACATGAATTCTCCTACAATAAAAACAGACAACGTCAGGCCTAGGTGTCACTAGCAAAGTCTACCAAACGTGGAAGAAAAAAATTCAAGAATTTAGCAGAACACCTACCTGGTGAGGATGCAGACCCCGCCGCTCGGACCTGTGGACACGCGAGGCCGCAGCACTCAGGAACTGTTCCTGCGGCAGCTTGGGAAGCTGCACCACAGGAGTCGCACTCTTGATAATTCACCCCGAACAAAAGACGTGACAGTCACCACTTTCTCCAGGCAATTCTGCGTGTTTAGAGCAGCATCTGTATCTCCCAAATCTGCAAACATCCCAAAGGCCCTCGGTGCCATTTGGGGTTGGAGCAAGTTTTGCTGCCATTTCAGTCACTTGTAAAGGAAAGGGAGGCTTAACCGTAGCCCCGTAGCCAGAGGGTCCCTCATAATCTGGTAGGAGATGGAAGACGCCCCGCCTCCCCCAATAACATGCAGTTCCCAGCGCTCACAGAAACACCCTCCCCCGTCCCCCGTGACCATCACGTCAGGATCAGGAGAGGGGACACGCCCGGCACACGATGGGCTCACTGTGGGCCTTGGCACCACTTATGAGCCGAGGGCATCCGTCAGCCGACAGCGTGAAGCTGCATCTCACAGCACTTCTCCAAAAGAACTATGTTCAAACCCCAGCATGGCTGCATTTTCTTCGGTGCTTCTCCCACTCCTCCCATTAAAAACCAACTATAAAAACGGCCAGAGGGCCCTGACTGGTTTGGCTCAGTGGATAGAGCGTCAGCCTGCGGACTGAAGGGTCCCAGGTTTGATTCCGGTCAAGGGCATGTACCATGGTTGCGGGCACATCCCCAGTAAGGAGTGTGCAGGAGGCAGCTGATCCATGTTTCTCTCTCATCGATAATTCTAACTCTCTATCCCTCTCCCTTCCTCTCTGTAAAAAATCAATAAAATATATTTAAAAAAATAAAAATGGATAAAGGACACGGCCTAATCTCGCAGGGATGGTCTTGAATGGCGGGATTTTGCTTGTCTGGTACAATGGGATAATCTCCATGGGGCCCAAAGGGGCTGTGGGGCTGGCTCTGTCCTTCCCTAAAGGAGGCAAGGCCTCACCCCAGGACCTGCTCTCGCTGGGCGGTACCAGGTGGCCACACCGTCTACCCTGCCTTCCTCTCCAGTTCCCAGGCTCTCCATGCACCAAGAATTCCAAAGCTTCCTTTGTGGACATCACCCCAATTTAATGTATACTTGGCTACACCAGAGGGATTGTACTTGGGGAAAAGATAAACTAGAATTATACGGGTGTGAAGGACG